ATTAAAAAATTAAATTAATTAAGGATATACAAAAAATAATTATTTAAGTAGTTTAATAATAATATTTTTTTAAGAAGCGTATGGAAAATATTATTCGAAGGTGAATAGAGAAAAAAAAAAAAGCAGCTGATTTTAGGGCCCAATATGTTTTCAAAAAAAATAAAGAATAAAGAAAGAATTACTCCATGTGGCGGAAGGTGGTGAAACAACCAGAAGGGACTTGTGGGCATTGATTTTTTTAATTTTCGTAATTGATACAAATGATTTCGCCTTTGTATTGTTCTATGAGAAACAAAATGCCAGATTTAGATGATGAATGGAGAGGAAATTTAAAAATTATATTTTTTTTAACTTAGGTTAGTTAATAAATTAATGGCAATTTTTTAATAAATTTATATAAAAATTATAAAAAATATTAATTTTAATACTATCATCATATGAATATATTTAATAAAATAATTAATAAATTAAATATTATTTAAAAAAAATTTAATTTATATATTTAAAACACAAATTAAAAAAATCTCTTAACGATGAAATCCTCAGTTAGGAAATTGGCGAAAGTTAATGGTGAAATCCTCAGTTAGGAAATAGAAGAAAGTTGAAGTCCTGATTCTCCTCACGCGCCATTTTTTTTCCCGTTTTCCACTTCCTTTATTGGAAGTCGTTAAGACGACGCAGCATACTGTTGGGTAAAGATTTTTTTAAATAATTAATTATGATGTTTTAAAATAAAAAAAATATATTTATATATAAATTTTATGTTATTATATTTATATAAGAGCAGTGCTAGAGACACTCGCCTAGCATTGCTCTTTGTATAAAAGTGAAAGAGTTGGCCGAGGAGTGCAGGAGGCGAGTGCCCTTAGCATTTCTCTTTATATAAAATTTTAATGATTTTAACCATTTAGGTAATACCAACAAATTATTGTGTGAGATGACCGGGCCCTCTGTATTGCTGTAAATAAATACTTACAAGTCCCATCCACCCACCCTCTCTAGCCCAAATCGACCGAAAATCTTAGGGCGAGTGCCCGTTAGAGAGTGCAAGAGCGAGTGAGCCTGTGACGTTACACTTAAATTAATGAAAATGGATAGGGAAATGAAATCCGAGAGGTAGGAATGGGAATTGGGAAACCCAATTTAAGTACAAAAATACCCCCCCTCATAAAACTCAAACCATCGTCGTTCTTGCTTGCCCTCACTCTCTTTTGCTCTGCCATCGAAGCACTAAGTTCACCTATTGCTTTTATTCAATTCAAAGCAGAGTAATCCATGGCGGACGCTGAGAAGTTTGATTTCCCAGATGAGAGCAACCCGTCGCTCAGCTTGATTATCGACCCCTCCCACAGCAACAAGGAGATCTTCCTCCGTGAGCTCATCAGCAACGCCTCTGATGTACGTATCTCCTTACTTGCTTCATTCGTTGATTCGTGAAGTTACGTTTTAGTTTTCGTGCTATGAGTGTCTTGTTCAGTCAATTATTCCGTACGCACTTCCTGCTTTCCCGGTTTATTTATTGGGTTTGGATGGATTGTTGGGTTTTAACGGTTTTCCTTTTTTGTACTTTGTATGCATCTTCTGGAATGAATGTCTGATGCTTTTAAAAGGGTTCTTAAAGCTCCATCCAAGCCGATCGATTTCTCCCTTTTTTTTTTCTCCAACAGAATTTCTGATTGATTTTTTTTAGATATTCCCTTTTTTTTTAAAATAAAATCTTTTTTTCTTGCTTGTTTGACCCTTATAACTGAAATTATAAATTTTGAGATTGATTTTTTTTAATTAAATTATAAAAGTACTAAAATATATTAAGCAAAACAACATTAAGCTGTATGTCCGCCGTACCTTTATTATGGACAACTGTGAGGAGCTAATCCCTGAATACCTTGGCTTTGTAAAAGGCATTGTTATTTCTGAGGACCTTCCTCTCAATATTTCTCAGCAGGATGAGATCTTGGAGATTATTCGGAAGAACTCGGTGGAGAAGTGCATTGAACTCTTTTTTGAGATTGCTGAGAACAAGGAAGACTACAACAAGTTCTATGAGTCATTCTCTAAGAATCTCAAGCTTGGTATCCATGAGGATTCCCAGAACAGGACTAAGATTGCTGAATTGCTCAGGTATCACTCTACCAAGAATGGTGATGAGATGACCAGCTTGAAGGACTATGTGACCAGGATGAAGGTGGGGCAGAATTACATCTACTACATCACATGTGCGAGCAAGAAGGCAGTTGAGAATTCTCCATTCCTTGAGAAGTTGGAGAAGAAGGGGTGCGAAGTCCTTTTCATGGTGGATGCTATAGATGAGTATACAGCTGGTCAGCTGAAGGAGTTTGATGGTAAGAAGCTTGTTTCTGCTACCAGGGAGGGTCTGGAACTTGATGAGAGTGAAGATGAGAAGGAAAAGAGCGAAGCTTTTACAGAGAAGTTGGTGAAATTTTTCAAGGGGATCAAGGATTTTCTGGCCGCCGAGGTGAAGAAGGTGACGGTGCAAGTTGGGCTAAGCATTCATGAGGACAGCAGTGATGGTGATGCTGACATGCCCCCATCGTGGGATGCTGATGCCGAGGGCAGCAAGATGGAGTAAGTTGATTAAACTCTGATTTCAGTTATTTGCTTTTTACACCCTGTAAGAATTGAAGTCCCTTCAATTGCTTTGAGTTTATTTTCTCAGGATTGATTAAGCTTAAGAATTCTTCTTTATAGTGTTATTTCTTTAATTCTAATTTATTCTCATTACCCTCGCCATTTTACCTACTGATGCCTTAATATCAGTTTGAGCCAAACCAAACCAAACCAAACCGAGTTATGTAGATCATGAACTTCATTCGGTGTTTGCCTGCCGTGACAAATTTTCTTTCAGTGTATACAAATGGGTAAGAATTAACATAATGAGGGAAGGGAAAGGCAAAAATCAACATATGATCCAGTGAATTCACAAGCTCAACCTTCCCAGGTTAAATGCAGCCATAAATGGGCCAAAACTTGTGTTTAGCCCCTAATCTTTTTAAGTAAGAAATTTTTAACCTTTAAATTTAAAAAACCTTTAAATTTAGAAGTTTGAAGATTTCATTCTCACCAACGGCAATTACTTACCTCTATTAAAGTGAAATAAAAATTTTATAAAATTAGTCTTTAAAAATTAAAAAGATATCAATTTGGTCTCAAAATTTTAAAAATTAAAAAAGTAGTATATTATCGCTCAATTTTACTTCAACTAAGAAATTTCTTTAATATTAGTTAAAATATTTTTTTCAAATTAAGTTAATTGTTTAATTTGATTATAAATATCTGATACTATTCTTATATATATATAGTATAGTCACCCATTATTTTTTTTTAATTTACTAATTTTTTTAACTTTTAAACTTTAAAGATTAAATTGTCACTTTTTTAATCTTTAAAGACTGGTTTTATAAGTTTTTGTTAACCATTTCTGTGAGTTTAGGGGTTGAAATATTAAAACGTTAAGTTTAGAAGTTAAAAACTCTATAATATAAATTAAAAAATTAAAAACTTTAAATTTAATAAAATAAGATACCAAATACAGTAACTTAGAATGACGATACACGCAACGAACAAAAATATTGTAGAAACTCACTCTCCAGCCCTTTACATGCAAGCGGGTTAAAATTTTTATAAAATTATTTAGGTTGTGTTTGGGAACTTAAATTTGAATTTGATGAGTGTAATTGAAATGCATGTATTTAAAATACATGTATTTAAAACACATGTATTTTGAAATACATTGTTTGGATTGAATTAAAAAAAATGAATTTCAAATACATGTATTTTTAAATACATTGTTTGGATATTTTAAAATACTATGTATTTAAAATTGAATTTATCTATTAAATTA